CACAAACATTCCTGCGCAACATACGTATACAATATACACATAAAAGCGACAAAACTAATGGCACAAATAGAAAAATAACAGCTGATAATGTATTCTGTTTGAGCAAAAACATAATAAATGTAATACTCAAGATAGAGACTACATAAATATGACAATTACATTTAATATCTTCCCTCTGACGAAAGCCTCTTTTGCAGTCAAACATTATTGTTTTCGTCAGTTCCTAGCGTTTGATCATGATGCAACTTGTCTTTATCAGCACCTAAAACTTTCGTAAATGTTCTTCTGTCGTCTGTAGTAACACTCTGTCCACATTATCTGTTCTTTAGTAACTCATTTGTCAACATCTCCAACATATCTTTTTCTTAATTTTCTTCATCGACTTAGACATTGTGGAAAGGAGGTTGAGCCTTTGTTACGTGTCTGCGGCATTGCCCTTTGCACGTGACAGAGCTTTGAGGAGAAACCTATAGTCGCATTAGTCGGTCAAAACTTGAAATCTTTAACCTATTATTTAATGTAAGAGACGTGGTAAAATTTAAGCCTTCTTACCCATGTTACACAGGGGAAGCAACTAATAAGCCTTGCAGACGGAGCGTGCCCAGGTCTCTAATTCCACGCAAAGTAGTAGCCGTGCCCATGTTATTACTGAGCCGGCGTTTGATGCATGCAGAGTTTGGCGTCGAGCCCAATAGCGACTGTCGTTGCTAAAGGGGGTCAAACTACATTTGTTTTATGGTTCGATTTTTGAGGAAGAAATCAGAAATCTAGAAGTGCCACCTCAGCCCACTGTAGTTGAAAGAGAAGAATATATCGATTTCACGAATCGTTTGATAGTAATAGAATCCTTCTTTTTTTTCTTTCCTATTTTAGAAGAAGAACTAGGACGTAAAAGTTAATTATGAAATCCCTTTTATGAAAACGAAAATCAAGTTTAACTGCCTTTTGTTTAATAAAGATTCCGTAACGAAAAAAAAACGAGTCATTCTCCACGCTATATGCGTTACGTTATGCGTCATTATTATTAGACTCTTACTCAGGTTTCAAAAGGTCGAATTCAATAAATCTTTATTGTACAGATGCTCTGTTCCTTAAAACTTGGCGAAATACTCAAATACAAGTTTTCCTTTTTTCCGTTTCTCTGTTTCATCAGCCCTTTCTTACTACCCAGATGTATATTAAATCTAAACTACTCACTACGCAGACTAGGTGAGCAGATTCGAAGGAGCGCTGGAAGGATCGAGTGAGTCTTCAATCCATACCTACAACTTGGATTTTCCAAGTTAAAAGTGATCGAAAATAACTTTGACTGATGTCTAAAATGACCTAGCGAGTCAGGAAGAGGTTCCAGTTATCGAGGGTTCGAGTTACCGAGGGTAAAATTGCTATAAGTGTTGACGAAAATCAAGGGAAAATCGATTTTGGTTCGAGCTAGCGCGAAGTTCGAGGTAGCAAGGTCGACTCTACTCTTATTTGTCAATAATACTGAGATAAGTGCAATGTCGCTACCTACCTTAAATCTTTTTTGTTAACGTCGGCTCAACTCAAGAAATCCAAATCCGCAGCAAATTAATTAATGAAACAGTCAGGATCTCATCTACGAATTCATTTCCTCTCAAATTGATCTTAACTTGTTTAGTCTCTGGCAAACAATTGAGTGGTGGCCATTATGTGCATATTTTTGGAGCGTTCCACTGACTTGGATACACATATGTCTCTTTTGAATATTTAGCGAAGTGAGGATATAGATAAGATTTCTCTTTAGAGTTCTTTTCGGTCGTTCCGACTCCATGCATAAAGTACAGTTTCGGTTTCGTATCAACCAAATGCATTTCTGTAATCACAGACTATAATTTTGTGAAAGCAGCCGATGATAGCATTTGAGTAGTCATACGGATAGACCAAGGCTAGCATAATGATAGCTGCCCAAATGTTACGGAAGATGTCAACGGATTTATTCATCGTCAGTTTAAATGCTTGCGGTAAAAAGAGCAACAAAACAAACGAATTATCTGCACAAAACAACAACAGCATGCCAAAGCTGAAAGCTACCGACAAAAATAAGATAAGATAGGATCACGGAAAGTTTAACCCTAAAAACTCCGTCTTGCCATTAATTGAGAACTTCTAAATGAGTGCTTTGGATAAATACATACGCATTTTACTCACATCAACATATGTTCACTATGTACTGAATGCACTTAAGCTGTAAAAAGAGTGATGTACTGAGCTGCGTATGCTAAGATTGCTATATCAAATTGAAAAAGTCTGGCAGACGTTAAATGTAAGGCAGTCCGAATTTCTTTTACATTCTAGTAAATCAAAAGAACTGAGCAATCAAAAACTATTATTTGTCGATCAAGAGTAGCTTCGGGATTCAAGTGTCCGGCGTTTAAAAATTAAACTAAATTTTCCCGCTTTCCAGAAATTCATTGGGTCATAAAATTTTTGGTTTGCACGTTTCCCTCGACAGCGTTTCTTCGGTTGGTAGATTAATCAAACGATAGTTCCGTAGCATTGATCTCAACGATCACTTTACCGAAATGACATATTTTTTGCACAGAGCCGGATTGTTCGAGTGTCAGGTCATATATGAACAAGTTTACCTGTTAGCTGTTTTCAATACGGCGGTCTGCACCATGCAGAACTTCTTTCTCAAGTGTCACAACTCATGGTTTCGTTCTGATGCCAAGGGTTTGACTTGGGATCAATAGCGCTTTTCTGAATCGCTTGGCACTCCTAAATCGACATATAGTAGGGTTGGCCAAGGTTTTTTTTTTATCATTTCGTATTTTGATAATCTTGACCGGCCGCCGGTCATTTAATAACTACAGGCAATTTGTTTTGGTGAGCTACTTACACTGGGGTGGAAACATCCAATCAGGGTAACGTCCGTAATTGGCAATGTACACATGTTCTAGCTAGGCAAACAAACCAAGTGAAAACCTGTTGTTATTCATATAACCCCAAAACTATAATCACGAACACAAAAGAAAATTATTGAAATGTTCCACAAATTGAAAGTTTGGTTTCAAGATTGAAGTGGTTTCAAGGTAGATCGAAACAACGCGATGTAGAAAAATATAAAGGCATTTTCCTTTCCGTGTTAAGTTCTAATTTACAAGCTTGAGTGCGTGGCAACAAAAAATGAAATGTTGCACCATTTCAGGGTCGTTTCAACTGTTACCACGTACAAAAATAAAGATCAAAGCTTGAAACGCTCCTTATAGTTATTATTTTCCAAAACAAACATGGAAAAAAGAGTTTTATGTTTCACGTTACGATGAATGGTCTTCGCCTGCAGTACATTTTTAAGTCTTCCATTCCAACACCCTAATGTAAAGGAAGCAACAGTTCTTTGTGAAATAGCTCCTAGCTGACATTCACCTTGGAAAACAATGTAGATTAAAAATCATCCCCATAAGTGATAATAAAAGTAACAGATTTTTTATGCCTGATGGTATAAATTTTAACAGAAATTTGTCGAAATGAAGAATAATTTTCGAGTTTGGAAACGGATCCAGACATGATCGAGACAGGAAACCGCTCATGGAAGTCCCTCGAACGAATTTGCATATACTTGAAATCGTAGTAGAGCGCCGGGTTTTCAATTGAGTGTCGTAAAACCAAAACCAAACCAATTACTTACCAATAGACTACTCAGCCAATTTCAAACCGTAGTAAAACCAAAACCAAAACCAAAGTAATCATCTAATTACTTTCGACATCCAATTGAAAACCGCTCTAAACAGCCCTCAATGTTTATAATGAAGGTGGATTTTATAGCCGACAACCAGAGAGATATTCTTGCAGTAAAATCTTGAGAAAAAGCTAAAAGGCGGTTGAACAATGTTAAGAGAAACAAAGTACGGAAGAGTACAGTATGTTTCCCAGCCGAGTCTGACCACTTCAGTGTAAAACGGCTATATCTTTACTTACTTCATGATCACAGGAGGTCTAATATTTGGCCCAGAAACAATACATTTACTCTTTAATAGAAAGCAAAATATAACTTAAAACAGTTTACGTTTGTACCCTCGTGTCCGTAGTTGGATTTCAGTTCAGTTACATGCCCAGTATACGTACGTCCGAGTCTTAAGCCCAGTATCCGCCAGCAACGATCAGATCAATGCAATACCAACGTCACTTTCGGCAGCCAACCGATGTGATAAGCTCCTTTGGCACTTGCAAAGTTGCTTGGCCTTCGATCTGAAAAAACAAAAACAAAAAGCAATTGCTTGCTAGGAACCGTGCATTGTGATAAAAAGCTGGAAGAAAGGTTTGATCCTCCTCTCCATGTTTACAAAATGACACAGAAAACCATTTGCCTGAAATAATAAATTAATGACATTTCATTAGTGGTGTCTAGGTTGGGATTATATGCATATCCTAAAACTATAGGTAGAGGTATAAAAGTAGTTCACAACTTTAGCAACGATCTTTTACAGTCGGGAGAAACTGGACGGAAATTAAACTGGGCATACTAAATCTAAATCATGTGAGTGGTAAATTCAATTAGGTAAAATGTATTGATGACACAATTACTTGAACTCTTCGAGTATCTTCACTCCAAATCTAGAAAAACTCCTATGAAAACATCGCATCTTTCAGAAACTGTAGACCAACGGTAGGTTAATTTTACTGCGTTGTGAAAAGCGCAAACATAAGCCATGAAAATATCACTCACCTGACCAAGATGTTGGCCTGTGGAAGTGGTGTTCAAGCTACAGTGTAATAGCGCACCCAAACCTCTTTATAGTTATTCGACAGCTGCAACTGACAGTTCTGCGTCCTTTCGGCATATTTCGTTTTTCAGAAGTCATTAAAGTACGACGCAAAAATTGAAATAATATTCAAATAACCATTTTCACGGTTAACTTTTCTCATTTGCATTACAATCAGAAGCATATCACCTTGATGCGTTTAACCCTGGTTCAATGC